CCCATAGACCCTCCCTTCAAAGAAATCAGGACAGAAGTGGTCAAAAGTGGACAAACACCAGGTGTAAACAGGAATGTGTGTCTCCCTCATCTACTTGTGATCCGATTGACCAAAACCAAGTGTAAACAGGGTCCCTTAAAGCAGAACCCATTTATATCTGTCAAACTGTTCTCCACTGTTTAAGCACCCTAGGCACAATGGTTGTCATTTGAGAACATCCTGAACTTTTCCTATACGTCGAGTTTCTCATCCAGAACCGAGGTGCTCCCGTATTCCAGAGCGCCCTGAAAAACTATATCATCACCCCAAAATGTCCCCGGCTCACTTTTCAATCTAAGGAAGGAGGAGAAAGCCCATACATTTTAATCAGTTATCTGAGGAGTGATCATGTGTAAGCTGATCTGAGCCACCCCTGCTCGCCAGCACTGCCCATCGTCAGCAATCACTTTTACACAGTTTACCTGCACACCTGTGTCTAGCACGCACCGCCTGAATAAAAGATGACCCGACAGGGCAAATAAACGATGCTAGCGTTACACAAGGTAAACAGCAACAACGGATGGACGTGGTCTGTGTGTGGCAGCCCTCTGGCACTGTGAGCGCATGTGCCACCTTGAACTATGGCGCGCAGCCGGGCGTGTAAAGCTCTGGTGAGAGGAGACAGAAAATAAAGGTGAAAAACTACACCCGCACACTTGTGCCGACTATCAATTACTTTTCTGCTCCGAAAGAAGGAGAAGTTGTGTATAAGGCTTCTGGTTGGAGCCACGAGTCGCCACTGATTAATTCAGCAACTCAATAATTCAGAAGTTGCACACTCTCCATTAGGTGGAATAATGCTCCCTGCAAAATTTAAAAGGGAAATATGGGACAGCTTTTTTGAGTCGCTCTGGTTTTGGTTGTAGATGGGGTTTGGCTGAAGAAATTAATACCGGGTCATTTGACATTTACAACGCTATTAATAATAAACTTGAACGGTACTGCTGATTGTCTGAGGCACTGGATTAAAATGTCTCTGATGACCTGACGAGGATCTTTTGTGCAAATGAGATCTGTGTTCTAGAGGAAGAAGATTGTATCTTTCTTGTTACGTTTACTTTAGCCTTAATTGGAGCTTCAAATGGCAAAAGGCTTCTCATCCCTGTCCTGAGGAATTGGGCCCATTTTTATTTTTTGACACTTTTGATATAATAAGAAGTTCAGGTATGGATGGTGTCACATCAGTGTCCAAAAAATAATAATAAAAAAATTAAACATTTGTTTTAACATTTTTAAAAAATTTAAAAATAAATAAAGGTTAGTATTTTCTCTTTGGAGTTGATTTTCATGGAGTTTTTGTATTCATGAGGAGATTTTTCTAATTATATATATATATATAAGTAATCCTTTTATGTTAAATACTTGCATTTAATCAATTCATTTAAATAAATTCTTAAACTAAATATTACATAGGCTGTTAACAAGACATTTCATGTAACTTAACAGAATTTTAAAACATCAGATGTTACAATAACAAATAATAGAACACAATCATTATAATAAAACTATATAAACTATTATTCTAAATGATTATAGGCTAATCAAAACAAAAAAAAACTAGGTATATTAATTCTATTTATAACAATGCCTAAATATGAATTATATTACAAGATAACAAAATATTTAATAAAATGTGACCCTGGACCACAAAACCAGTCTTAAGTGTACATTTTTTAAAATTGAGATTTATACATCTGAATAAATAAGCTTTCCATTGATGTATGGTTTGTTAGGATAGGGCAATATTTGGCTGAGATGCAACTATTTGAAAATCTGGAATATGATATATATAAAAAAAAATCTAAATATTGAGAAAATCGCTTTTAACGTTGTCCAAATGAAGTTCTTAGCAATGCATATTACTAATCAAAAATTAAGTTTTTATATATTTACAGTAGGAAATTGACAAAATATCTTTATGGAACATGATCTTTACTTAATATCCTAATGATTTTTGGCATAAAAGAAAAATTGATCATTTTGACCCATGCAATGTATTTTTGGCTATTGCTACAAATATACCCCAGCGACTTAAGACTGCTTTTGTGCTCCAGGGTCACAAAAAAAATTTGCATAAAAAATGTAATTCTAAAACATCAGATGTTGCAATAAGAAATATATATATAAAAAAAACAATTATAATAAAATTATATAAACTCTCATTCTAAATGATTATAGGCTGATCAATAATAATTCTACAACAAAATTATTAGAACACTAGGATTTTCACCAGCTAAAAAAATGGTTTTAAGTCAGTTATTTCTACCTTTTGCTGTAGTGTGTCAATAGGAAATATCAGTTTACATTTCCAAACATTCATTTTGCCATTAATTTATTTTTTAGCTGGTGAAAATACTAGTGTTCTAATAATTTTGGCCACCAGTGTATATATATATATATATATATATATATATATATATATATATATATATATATAAATACACATACATTATATATATATAAATAAAAATGTTTTTATCCATCTTAAGTTGGATTCAATTCAAACCTGCATTTCCTACATGAGCACCACAACTCACTAATTGCTAGGTCACAGCTACCACTAGGAATCTTACCTTAAACAGATCTGCCACTAGGCCATAGTCAGCCACCTGAAAAATGGGGGCTTCTGGGTCCTTGTTGATGGCCACGATGGTCTGTAAAACAATTAAATAAATTATTTAGCATGGTGGGCTGTACTGAATAGAAAGCCTCTATGAGTCGAGCACTGATGGACTACAGTCTCCATAATTCCCTAAAGTCAATTCCCAGATCAAGTGCAATAGTAACAAAAAATGCTAACACATTATTCTTTATCCATCTTAAGTTGGATTCAATTCAAACCTGCATTTCCTACATGAGCACCACAACTCACTAATTGCTAGGTCACAGCTACCACTAGGAATCTTACCTTAAACAGATCTGCCACTAGGCCATAGTCAGCCACCTGAAAAATGGGGGCTTCTGGGTCCTTGTTGATGGCCACGATGGTCTGTAAAACAATTAAATAAATTATTTAGCATGGTGGGCTGTACTGAATAGAAAGCCTCTATGAGTCGAGCGCTGATGGACTACAGTCTCCATAATTCCCTAAAGTCAATTCCCAGATCAAGTGCAGTAGTAACAAAAAATGCTAACACATTATTCTTGTAAACATCTCATCAACATGAGGATGATGCTCCTATATGCAACATATGGAGGAAGATGGTTGTGATGGGCTCTGACAGATAAAGCAGTGCTACCAGAAACTCTATTCCAGAGATGTGGAATGGAAAATGCAGATGAATTATGGATGCGCGTAAAAGGCTCCTCCAGATCGCTTTTAAAACACTCTATTCCAATACAGCGTCACACTTAAGAGTGAGTTAACTTGGCATATTCTGGAAACACCTCTGGTCATGGGTGGGGTTTCCTCTGATTGCAGATATTATCACAAAAAATTATATCTTCTTAGTGTACTAGTGTGTGGGTGTGTATTTTGACATGTATTACTAACTGTACCTTGCTATCCTTCATTCCAGCTAGATGTTGGATCGCTCCAGAGATGCCAACCGCAATGTACAGCTCCTGTGTAGTAATCAAAAAAGAATTTAAATGATTTTAAAAGGGAAATATCATACAAATCAGCAATCTATTGCTCTTTTGAAATAATGTCACATTTATGAAAACCCATATTTGCATTTCACTGCCTATTCAGTACTCTGCGTGTGAAAACTACTGGCAGTAGTAGATCATGTTTTTCCCATTAAAATCGAGTAATATTATTTGATCTATCTATATATGACCCCTTTAAATTTAACATTAATAACAGATAAACCGTAAAGCAAATCAAATTATTTCTCTCATTTAGCTAACAAACCAATTAAAACATATTATTCTCTCTTCACGTGCAAAAGTAGCCAATTATGAATTACTTGTGACAGGAAGCTCATTTAATATGCTTTCAGAATCATGTTATGCAGAAGCCTGATTGGCCGACGCCCCTGGCAACAATATGGTGTGCCATGTTTCAATTAGCAGCACTTAAAATGAACTGCAACAAGCCTGGTGCTTAAAATTAAATCATGAGCTAGACTCCTGCTTGCATATTAGACAGAAATGTGACTGAAAACCCTCAACAAGCGACAATTTAGCAACATCACAGGTTGCTATTGATACAATAACAAAGGGCGTATAAAGCTGTAAATCTGAGATAAACCGGGCACGATCTCGGCGTTGGCACGGAAGCACTCTGCTGACCTCCCGTCCTGGAGTACAGACCACAACATCCTCGCAATTACTCAAAAGAGGAGCACTTGGGGGATCTGGCAGGGAGCTCCCCCTCGCCTCCACCCTTGTCCCGAGGGAGTGGTGCATCAGTGGCTCTCAGCTTAATGCACTGCTCCATGAATATGACGCCCCTGGCAACAATATGGTGTGCCATGTTTCAATTAGCAGCACTTAAAATGAACTGCAACAAGCCTGGTGCTTAAAATTAATTTTTTGATGGCAGTACTTACAGGAGCCACAATCTTTCCAGTCTGTCCAACCTGCATGTCGTTGGGAACATAACCAGCATCAACTGCGGCTCTGGAGGCACCGACTACAAGAACATTTTGGTGGTTTCATTTTAAATTCATATAGCTCGATTAAAAACTAACACTAAAAGCGTCAACAAAACAAACAGCGTACCGGCTGCGTTCAGTTTGTCAGCAAGGTCGTAGAGCAGTTTGAAGTTCTCCCCGCTCTTCAAGCCCCTCCCTGTTATGACAGAAAGACGGCAGATGGCCATAAAATATGAAATTACTGACAAGGTTATGACTCCAGTCGGATCAATAACGGCTCGGTTTACTATCGATTTTCTGAGCAAAAAAAAAAAAAAAAGGCTGGAAGTTTCTAGGGAATACCCAACATCATGACCTACGGCTCAAACAAACAATGAACGTAAACACAAAGATGATGTAGTCCCTGTGGAAAGCGGTTTCAGTTTATTGTAATTTATTGATGTTATTTTTCTTTGATTAAGCAATAAAATATGAGAGTTTGTGCTTCATTACTTTTATAAATCAATAAAGTTCTGTTTATAATAAAATATTAAAATACAGTAAAGTACATAGAAATGTCAAACTACATGATATCTATATTTTAAATTATTTTATTTATTTAGTCACACCAGCCTCAAAAGCTAAAAAGGTAGTCAAAAAGACAGTAATAAAACAATATACAATAAGCAATTCTTACATCATAATAACAATTATTATAACAGTGAATGTAGTAGTAATAGGGGTGTCGAAATTAATCGTGCAATATATATATATAGAGAGAGAGAGAGAGAGAGAGTTCAGATGCAAAAGGCTCCAAATGCCATCTGAAGTTTTAAAATTAGCATTTTTCTCAGGCTCCTATATTTATGTTCAGTTATTTCTGAATAAAATCATTGTATAGTAACATTAAAAGCAGCTCAGGCCAGTAAAATATGGAGGTACCTTACTAAAAAGTAGATATTAGTGACTCTTCTGCTTGAAAAATGGTGTAGTGAAGTGAAATAGGTAGGTGAACAGTTATGTTATTATAGCATGTATTTCAATGTAGCTGAAACACTGTACTTTTCTTCAGCATTTGGGAGTTAACTATGCATTCTATAACATGCATTAGTTAATATTCGGACACTTTCCTGTAATATCCAATGGATGATTGTGGTTCTAGTGCGAGGTTCTTACCTCCAGACACCACGACTTTAGCACTGGTGAGTTCTGGACGGTCACTCTTGGTTAGAGTTTGTTCCAGCCACTCAGAGACTCCAACAGGGGCAGACGGAGAGACTGCAAAAGCAACAACATCTCGTGAGGAGACGTCCAAATAAACAGGCCGAGTTGTTCCGAAATGCTCTTTACGATCCCTTTAAAGCCAACGTTTAAACAAACTAGCCCATCAAAACCTCGCAGCGGAGTGGAAGATTATATACAAGACTAAATACTATAAACCTTTGTGTGTGGTATCAAAGTCAGCGTGACCTTAAAGCAAAACATGAACAAACAGCAGTGTTTAACTTTATCGAACGAAACGACTCGGTACCTTCCTCTGAAGATGCGCCGCCTCCATCCACGGCCGCAGGTTCAAAGGAAGTGCCTCTAACGGTGAACACCTTGACGCTTTCATTGCACCTGACTGTGCTGAGGGCATTTCCTGTGAACGAAAAAATTTAAAAAATAAAACAAGATATTTAAGATTAACTTTTAATATTTACTGGTGGACTCGATATAAAAAAAGCTTGATTATTTTTTGTTAAAAGGAGCTTAGATTCTCACTTTATAATAGCTTGTATTAAGGTCATTAATGCACATTACTACACTGCACAATGAAAAACATATCATCATAAAATGTCCATTCAAATACTTTTAAGATAATTTAAGAAACTGTATTATAAATCATATGCACAGAACCTTTCGTGGATCCCCCGGTTGAAAACCTTGGACATAAATGATCACCACAAGTGGCAAACCACCACTTTTCATTTGATGTTTCGCATGAAAAACGTCTATATCGGATTTAAAATAACATTTAAATTAAAAAAAAATCTCGTAAATAATTTTTTTTTTTTACACAAGTGCTTTGTGCTTGCCAAAGATAAAGTGGATGGAGTAATTAGGAAGTATTTATGGCAGTAGATTTTATGGATGAGAAACGATGAACAGAAAAATAATGCATGCAAAGTGGGACAAAAAGGCTCCAGGGTCTCCCTTAGATTTAAAAATGAAAATATACGATTTGTTTCAAGTCAGCGTGAGTTATCACGTGTCTCTGTGCACAATGGCCAGACTCCTAAATCACAACCTGTGCACTGAACAACGAGAAGGATATGGAACGAATTAGGAAGGTTATTTGAAAGCAAACAGGTTTAAAGCAAGCGTTTCATTGAGAAGTGCTACTTGTGCATGTTTACCGGCGTAAATGGTCCTCACAAAGGTGTCTGGAGATTTGATCTCAATGATATCTGAAATGGGAGCCACATCCAACTTGGCAGCAAAAAAAAAGTGACATTTTTACAACTGTACAAAAGTTCTTAATAAAAACAAAAGCTTGTCAAATTTATCAAAGAAAAAAAAGGGATTAATTATGCTCAATCTGATAAAAGCTTGTCATCATATAAAAAAAACATCAAGGCAAAAATGTCAATTTTGTTAAAAGTGATAAAAGTTTGTCATACAAAAATCTAAATATAAGTCATAACACTTGATAAATGTTGGACATTAAATTAAAAGGAAAATAAAGCCAAAAAGAATAATCGAGTTTGTTCAATCTGATAAAAGTTTGTCAATCAAATAAAAAAGTGACCACATTGCTGTTTTCACCACGGTGTGCAAAAGACACCGGATGTGTCCCAGGATAACAAAACAAAAAAAACAAGCAAAAACTAAAATACAATAGAAGACTTCTTTTCAAATAACATACGATAAAAGAAATGTAAAATCTTTTCTGGACAACAACACGTCACCCTTTCAGCCTTGGGTTTACCTTTCCGAAAGCAGACGCTCCCGCACAGACGTGTGTGAAGCTGAACTGTTTCTGGGTTGCCAAGATGAGAGGCGTCAGCTCCTCTGTGAAAGAAAGCGTTTCATTTAAATCACTCAATACCTCCTTCCCTCACCTGTCAGACGCTTTATGCAAAGTTACTTCTACAAATCTTCCATAAAGAACAGTGCAACAATCAAATACTTTCCACATTTATAAACAAAACCAAATTAAGTTGGGTTTACCTGGCAATAAACCTTTGTAGGCTTCATGCTGGGCTACCAGAACTTTCTTCACCCCTTGAACTTTGGACAACTGCTCCGCAACCTGTCCAGAAACCCATAATCATACCCTTGAAATCACTCTTTTAAACTTCAATGTGCATGCACAGATAATACCTTTGCACAGTTTGTTCCAGCAACCAAACAGGACACATCGCTGCCGAGTTTCGTAGCAGCAGTGATGGCGTTCAGGGTGATGGGGGTCAGCGTCTCATTATTGTGCTCGGCAACTACCAGAGTACTCTGAAACCTCTGAAGCAGACCAGTCTGGAAAGAAAACACAGGTTTGGTTAACTACCGAATCTGATACAGTAAGATATAAATATCCGGCAGACTTTCACCCAAATAACTGATATAAGGGAGACTATTTAATGCAGTGCAGCCAGACCTTGTTCTGTAGCCCACAGAGGTCATCAGAAATCAGACACATAACAGAGAGCTGATACTACTTTGGGGTCTGACAATGTAGGTCACATTTTAAATGCATTGCAGGTCAAACAGTTACTTAAGGACAGTGAAGAGGTTTCATAATGCACTGTTTACATATTGCATAACCCTGACAGATAGTTGTTAACCAGCTCTGTTTATTAACTAATCATATACCAGTGCCTAAAAGCGTTATGAACAATATGCCATGTTCACTCAATATTGAAATATTGTTCAAAAGGTCAGTATTTCTGTTCAGAACTATAAAAAGCTATGAGAATATGATTCTTAACGTTTAGACGCCTAGCTAGCATACTATATAACCATTAAAAATAGGAACCAAACATTTGACATTGCGCTTTAATGATCACATTTCAAAAACAACACAATAAAGCAAGATGCTGTGGAAAGGAACAGCAGTTTAGTAACATATCGCACAACATCTGCCGACCTGAATGAGCGAGTTAGCCAGCATGCTAAGCTATTCATTCAAGTATATTTCTGTCTAGAACGGGTAGAGAGAACGAGTGACAACTTTAAAAGAAAGTGCGCAGTGGTTAATGCATCGTTTCGACGGATTTGTCTTACCACCTGCCTGAGATGTGTCTTGTTTATTGCTTTGAGCATGACTGCAGCAGCAGCACACTGTCAATAACCACTGTAGTAACAGCGGATAGAGGTCGAGTTGAGTTCTCGCGAGATCAGAAAAGACACTCTTATGTATAAGTCATTTTGTAACGGCTCATATGTGTTGGTAATGTTCCTCAGGATATGTGCGTATAGTCAAAAATATATGTTTAATGAGCAATCAAATGTTAGCAGAAATCGAATGAACTAATATAACGGTCTAACAGCAGAGTGGGCGGAGACTGGTTGGATATTTAATTAGGGGGTGTGGTTTAATCGCTCTGATAATCGCTGTGGCGCTTCTAGTTCAAGAAGAGCTGGCTTTTACACGGACACTGTAAATATAACAGGGTCCACTGGATCCTTGGGTACATTTTTATGACTTTATTTATGACTTTATATTATAGGCAGTGGCTAATCCTCAGAAACAGCAGCACCAACCGCTTATTTTCTGTATTAAGTAAAATAGCCTAACGCGTTTTGGAATGAGTATGAGCTTTTTTCAGTGCTTTTCGGGGTATGATTTTTATTAACGTGCTTTTTGTTTGTTTTATTTACCACTTTTAGCCTATGCAATGTATTGATTTGATAGACTGTTTAGATGCTGCTTTGCATTCACGTGCAAAATAAAGTCATTAAAACGAAGAAAAAAAGATGAAGACAAAAGGGAAAGATGTAATTAGGCTATTGTTTATTTATGACTTTTTGCATGTAGTTATTAAAATAAGCATTTAACGTTCGAGATAAGCTGTTCGATAAAACCTTAGAATAAAAAAAATGATGCAGGCTAAAATCATAAATGTGTTATACACGCTTTTTATTTAAAAATAGCTTGCTATTTCTGACCATTTTTAGGCCTATTAACTCATTGACATTATAAATAGCCGACACGACTAAATGTTTCAACCACGATTAAAGCTAATTAAAACGCTAATATTGTGTTCTGCACATGCAATCTCACATGCGTCTCTTTTCGACCCCCTCATGGAGACATCATGGTTACTTATACAGCCTAAATGAAACGCATCCTACTTCTTTGCTGGGTTAGAGGTCAGAGTCAAAGGTGAGGTTCGACACGCGGTCACTTAGAGAGGGTCAGTGGATTCGCAACAGCATGATTGTGCGATTCATTTTTAGGCTGCAAGCCTGCAATAAACGAAATGATTCATTATGGTCGCTTTTAAAATACTTGCGTAGCCTACTTTAATCCACATTAAACATGCTGGAGAAGAAGGGTTTGTCTATATTGAAGTAGGCTGGCCTATACAAATACGACAAAGGGACAGAGTAAAAAGGTTTGAGTTTAAGGGATTATTCAAGGAGAGTTTAATTCAAGGTGCGTAGCGTTATTATTACCGGTTGCAAGCAAATGTGTGCTCTGAATCACTTCTGACATTCTCAATAGAAGCAGAAACGATTAAATATAGGCGAAGAATGCACAGATTTCATGAAGGTCAATTATGGTCATTTTG